GCTCTGTGTAAAGTCTATTAACCACTACATTGCATCAGTTTCTTCCTTAAGGTCATCATCCTCTGGAGAAAGGTTAGAGGCTGAGGAGTGTGCTGGGCAGGACTCTAGAGGCCCCTTTAGAAAAAGCCACCAGGGACCTCACTGCATCAGCAGGCCATGGAGAACCTGCCCTGTAACACAGATTTTGTTGCTAGCCTGAGCTAGTTATGACAAGGAGACTGCTGCTTCATGTCTGTGTTCCTGGGGTGCTAATTCTGGAAAGCCCAGAGTGCAGCCCTCAGAGACACTGCTAGGCAATGCCTTGATCTGCTTAGGAAAGAGAAGGCGAAGGTCAGACCCTAGGCCCAGACTCCCCAGACCTGGGAAAACAAATCCAGTCTGTGGTCTCTCTAAGACCCATTTATAGATTTCTTGGAAAATGACTCTTTCTAATGGAGAAGGTTCCCTGGGAAATCCATACCTGTTCAGTGAGTCTGAGACCATACCTGAGTAAGTGCTTCCAAGAGGCAGTCCCCAAAGATGCTCACAGCTGCACCCAGAATCTTGCAGAGGGCTGCAGACAAGGATTTGCCCTCAGATGGGTCCTTCATCTAAGTGCTGCTCACATGAACCAGCCCTGGTTTGGTCTGTCTAACCCCAAGGTCTTCATGCTCCCTCCCTTTGGAGACCAGATGGATTGATGCATAGAAAAAGACAGATGGGAACTGAGATATCAACACCCAGCAGGGGTGGGTGGAGGAGTGTGCGGCTTACAAGTTGGATGAGGTGCTAACTCTCTCCGATCTTGGGCTCCTGGAGGGAGGGGAACAAACAGCTGTGGGGAGATGTGGCTCGTGGGGTTGCTGGAGCCTATGTGAGTAAGCACAGGGCTGGGGCTATGGTGGTTGGGTTTGGGTTCTGAAAGTCCCACAAGCGCTCTAGCCAGTGGAGAGGGTAGAGTCTAGAGCAGGGGTTGCCGATTAGAAGTCTGTGGGCCCAACTTGGCCTGTAGGTATGCGGGATGTGGTTCACATGTAGGGTTTTTTCCCCCCATTTAAATTAGTTGCCAGTGTTTTTAAAATAGAAAAACTTATCTTTAAGTCTGGATTTCCAGGGAAGCTTGGGTGGCTCAGTCGGTCAAGCCACTGCCTTCAGTTCAAGTCATGATCCCAGGATCCTGCGAGCAACTGAGTCTTGCATCAGGCTCCTTGCTCATCGCGGAGTCTACTTCTCTCTCTGCCTCTGCCTGCCCCTCTATCTGCTTGTGAGCATGTGCACTCTCTCTCTCTGACAAATAAATAAATAAAATCTTAAAAAAAAAATCTAGATTCCCAGCCTTTTGTGAAAAATGAGAGTATCTAACAGCACTGGGCCTGCATGGGCAGTCAGCTCCAAGCAAGTAGCGGCTGCCTCTGGCAGACAAGGCCACTCCATGCACTGGAGAAGTGTGACCAGGAACAGAGTCCCCAAGGGTGTCAGCGTCAATAGGCAGTTCAGAAGGCTCCTCACTGACTGAGAAAGGACCTTGTTCAGAGCCCTTTGGGCCGTGGAGCAAGAGGCTGGGCTTGGCTCAGGGCAGGAACAGTCTCTGAGGGCTGGCAAAAAAAGACAACTGTTTGCCTTCCTTCTCTGCCTCAGGGCTGGGAGTCCTTCCTGTTCCTATCACCAGAAGCCAAGAGCCCTGCAGTCCAGGATCTGCCCACCCCTAGTTCCCAGGACACGTGTGTAATGTGGTCCCAGCCATCCACAGCTCTGCCTCAGCACTGTGGAGAGTTAGGTGCCCTTTCAAAGAGCACCAAGCATATCTCAGGAAAGGGTCAGCATGTGCAGCAGAATGTTCAACAGGGGATTTGGAGTGAAGAACTCAAACATCTCCAGCCCAGGTGCCACCAAGCCGAGCAGACACATGAGTGGGAGCTGAGGCTCAAATGGGTCCTATGACCAGAACCCAGAATGTGCCAAAAGTGAGTGTTCCACACTCCCTTCATTTTATCCTTGAAAGATGGAAAGAACACAGGGAAAGTGATGAGCAGCATAAAAATAACTTGGTATAGGGGCGCCTGGGTGGCTCAGTTGGCTAAGCGTCTGCCTTCAGCTCAGGTCATGATCCCATGGTCCTGGGATTGAGCCCCATATAGGGGCTCTCTACTCAGTGGGGAGTCTGCTTCTCCTTCTCCCTCTGCCCCTCCCCCCCTGCTTGTGTGTGCACACGCGTGCTCTCTCTCTCTCAAGTAAATAAATAAAATTTAAAAAATAATAATAACTTTGGTTAGTTCAGGAAGATCTTTAAACCTGAGAGGTGACAAATAAGACCTACTGCACTTCAAAATCTACCGGGCCACAACATCCAGCTCTGGCACACACAAACCCCATGCCTGGAACCTCACTCATAACACAAAAAAGATTTAGAATAAACAAGAAATCAAAGGTATCTGAGGTTAAGACTTTTTCAAAAATCTAAAATCCAGTCTGTGGGCTGATGCTTAGAAGGACAAGACAGCCTGCCCAGGCGGTGCTGGGACTAACATCAGGTACCCTGGCACAGAGACTCTGACAGGGGGGCAGAATCTTGAAGGACGGGTGGTCAGGTAGTACAGGCACCACACGCAGCCGTTCTCTGACCCCTGACTACGTGGCTACCCACCAGGCACTGCCTTCCTGAAACATCAACCTTCTGACATCTTCCTGGCACGTTTGCCTTCCACATTCAAATCTTCTTGGTCTCTGCCTGGGGTGCTATAACACTCTATCACCCATCTCCCTCATCCCCATCTCAAATCCACAGCTTGCACGGCCTTGACAATCTAGCAGGCTCTCCCATCACTCTTTGTGAAAATGCTTTCCCACCATTAGAGATCTTTCCATCAGGCTATTTTCTTTCCTGGCTTTCAAAAGAAAGATACTGCTTGAAAAAATAAACTCAATTCAACTCCTACTGAGATTGAGATTTTCAGGGAATAGGATGAGCAAGAGAAATGCATGCAATTTAAATAGAAAAATCAGGGGGCGGCTGGGTGGCTCAGAGGGTTAAGCCTCTGCCTTTGGCTCAGGTCATGATCTCAGGGTTTTGGGGTTGAACCCCAGGCTCTCTGTTCAGTGGGGAGCCTGCTTCCCCCTCCCTCTCTGCCTGCCTCTCTGCCTACTTGTGATCTCTCTATGTCAAATAAATAAATAAAATCTTAAAAAAAAAGAAAAATCAAACAGAGCCAAGAATGTGGTAACTTATTAATCAGAGTTGAAAAGAAAGCAAACTAGGGACGCCTGGATGGCTCAGTTGGTTGGGCAGCTGCCTTCGGCTCAGGTCATGATCCCAGCGTCCTGGGATTGAGTCCCACATCGGGCTCCTTGCTCATCAGGGAGTCTGCTTCTCCCTCTGCCTCTGCCTGCCATTCTGTCTGCCTGTGCCCGCTCTCTCTCCCTCTCTCTCTCTGACAAATAAATAAATAAAATCTTTAAAAAAAAAAAAAAAGAAAGAAAGCAAACTAGAGAGCAAACAGCTTCTGAGTTGTTGGAACTAGTTTTTTTTTTTTTTTTTTAAGACATCTGCATAGAAATACTAACTTTTCTTAAAAAGTTCTTCAAATGCACTCAAAACTAAGAAATACATGGGAACCAAAACATTTATCCTAAGACCAAATGTCAAACTCAAAGCTTGTGTTCATTATCATTCAACCAAGAAAAGACTTGAACGCTGATCGTGACAATAAAAAATGTTAAGAGCTTTGGGGGAAAGATTGAAAGCAGTTATCTGACTGAACCCGTTCATGTTAAGGGACTGTCATTCTTTAAATAATTAGTGAGCACTTCTATGTGCCAAGTACTACAGCAGGAGTTACAAAGCATAAACCATGACTGAAGTTTATGTGTCTATTTCCCAAAATAACTGAAAATGCAAGAATGATTCAAGGACATCAGACTGATCACCTTGATAACTCTCACAAAATTTCTAATTAGCTTCTCAACAGTTTCTGAAAAGACTGAATAAAAATTCAACACCCCTTCCTAAAAACAGCAACTCATCATTTTAAATAGGGTAAAACTACTTGAAAGTAGAAAAACGATTATCATACTTTGAGCTAAAAAAAAGCTTCTAAGTGATAGTAAAGAAAATTATACAGCAAGATTTAAAAATGGAAAAAACTTCACGCTGATTGGAAGCCTAACAAAATCAGAGTACTAAACTCTACCTGTGGTGTGAACAGGGCTTTGTAAATTATATGCACATCTGATGACAACAAGGACCAAAAGGAAACAAGGCACTGAAGAGATTTATTTGAATGGTATGAGAACAGGTCAATTTTTCATTTTGATAACCATTAGATAACATTAACATATTCTTTATGAATTAAGTCCTATCAAAGAAGATTACACAGAGTGGGAGGGCAAGAGTGAAATGGGAAGCAGGAGAAAAGCTAACCGGGGGGCCTGGGTGGCTCAGTTGACTGGGCATCTGCCTTAGGCTCAGGTCATCATGGTCCCAAGGGGCCTGGGATCCAGCCCTACATCCTTCTGCTCATCAGGAAGCCCACTTCTCCCTCTCCCTGCCTTCTGCTTGTGCTCTCTCTCGCTATCTCCCTCTCTCTCCAATAAATAAAACCTTAAAAGAAAAAAAAAAAAGAAAAAGAAAAAGAAAGAAGCGAACTGCCTTTCTAAAATCCCAGATGCTACCCACTGTGAAGCTGTGCCTTGAGAAGAGAAGGGTGACTTTGCCCCTGAACCCGAACCCCGGGAGAAAGTGCCACCTGGGAATCTGTCTAACCTGCCCAACAGGTTATTCCTCTCAGGCCAGTCCTTCCCTCCCTCTCCTCCCCTGCAACTCTCAGTTCCTGGCTGGTTTCACCTGCTGTATAAACACCACACATGGAGCAGCCCAGCCCAGCCCACCTCCAGGCAGGATGGGGAAGTAAGCAGTGAGCGCAGTGACCTGGACACAGAAAGGGACTTTACCACAGGAGCTGCTTTAGAACCTGAGGCTTGTGCACGCGCATGCGCCCCCGCCCTCCGCGCCCCCGCCCCCTTACCTGCTGAAGCATCTCTTCAGCAGCATTGAGTTTCACCTGGTGTCCTTCCAGACACACTTCCAGGTCCCGGATCTTCTCTCCTTGGGCTTCCACTTGGTCTGTGAGGACACTCACCTGTCCCAAGAAATAAAGCAATGCTGGAGGAGCAGAGACGGCTCACCTGGGGCTGAGAGACCAGGCTGCGGATCCTTAAGTAAAGATGGCTTTCCTTTTTGGCAGGCGGCGCGTCAAGGGTGGAGGAGTGACGGTTCTGGATGAAGAAAACTCCAGCTGCCTTCCTACCTCGCCACTGCCTCACTGACGCTGCGGCGTTTCCCTGCTCTTGAGGCACTCGAGAGAGAAACACCCGGCAGTCACGGTCACGCGCGCTGCCTCCGGGCTGGCCTCTTGCTCCTCAGCCGGCTCACCGAGCTCACTCAGTCTGGACCTCCAGGCATATCTCGGCTGGCTTGCCAGGGCTCCTGCCACCTCGCGTGGAAGGGCAAGCCAAGCTCCTGCGGAGACTAGCCAATGACCTTCCCTCTCTCTTCAGGGTGTGATGACTGCTCACCTACCAGGCGGGGCTTCTGAAGCAATTAAGGAATGTGGGATGTAAAGGGCATGTATTAGCACTGACAGAACTTGGCTCCGGGGAGGTGTTTGTGCCTCACAGGCCAAAACCTGACTCTAAGTCATAACACACACCAGCCCCACGGCACATACAGCGGCAGGAAAGTCCTCCACCTAAAAAAATCACACAGAATATCTATTGGAATTAATAAAAATCCACTTTTATCAGTCACTGAAGTTATGCCCTCAATACATACCTAGAGGATTTCCATAGCCTGCTCTCAGCAAACTGCTCCAGGATCCTCCTTTTTATTAAAAAGGTGCCTCAGAGCAGGAAGATGAAGAAAGAGAATGAGTGGCCTCCCCAAACAGAGAAATCAATGACCAGTAAACTGAGATCCTTTACACACTTCGGGTTTTTAACCAGTGGTGGAGTTGTGGCCATTTATATATAGATTATCCTAAGCAATTTCTCAGTCTGTAATGATAGCCGGAGTGTGAAGGAGTTACTCACTTCTGTTTCAACAGACTATCAATCATAAAGCTTACTTTACAGGGAAGAAATCTACTAATGCCACTTTAAGCCTTTCATTTTCATATTCCCACATGATTAAAGAATGACTGGAACATATTCCTGAAGTTGGTAAGTAGTGTGCTAATATTCCAGGTACAGTCCCCAAAACAGGCACTTTCTGTCATTTTGGGCCCATGTGAAACACAAACCTTTGTGGTGGATCGTTCAATCCTTGTGACCAACACTATCAGCAGTCCTGGCCTTTTTAAACTACCAACCCTACCTTCAAAAGGGTACAGATTCTTTGGGGTGGCCTTTCAAATCTCCCTGGGTTCCAGAGTTTCTGTTTGGGAGGGATGTGTGATGGTTAATCTGATTATGAGGATTAACATATTGTCCGCACCACACCTCAGAGTCATGCGCTGGGGTTACCCGGAGGAATGATCTGAGGTCTTCTGCACTCCATAGCCTGTAGAGCTCGGCTGTGCATGACTCAGGATATACAGGGCTACAGTGTCCTCACAAAACTGAATACTCAGAAGGACTATGGAGAGGCCCAGAAAACTGGGAAAATGTATAAAGATCCTAGAATGTGACCTTTACTCAATAAAAGGAAATACGTTTTGATCCCTACTACATGCTAGCCATAATTTTAGGCATTGGAGGGAATATAGAGATGTGGTAAAAAAGGGAGGGGGTGAAAAGCCTTACCTTAAACAATTACATTCTCATGAAGATAGAAAAGATTCTGGTTTTAGTACACATGCTGCTGAAGTGAGCACAGAAGATTTGGGGTTTCTTTTTAATTTACTCTGAAAACAAAGTATTTTGTTATGTGTGATTTGCCTTGCTCCTCTACGAGTAGACCCAGGAAAACATTCTGGACCAAGTGCTTCAATTAATTCATTCTGGCTAAGCTGCCTTATAAGTGAAGCGAGAGGTTCTACCAAGTTGAGGGGCCTAGCAGCTCCATAGGGGCCCACTACAAAACAGAGTGATCGCCTAAGAGCAGCTCTGAAAGTCTGGTCACAAGCTCCTGGAACAGAAACCACAAGGATCCACCTCTGACTTCCATGATTAGCAGGTTCCCAATTGTGTTAGGACTGTTGCAATAAGGATTATCCAAGGAGTCAGGATGTTTTAAAACAAACAAACAAACAAACAAACAAACAAAAACTGTGAATGTCAAAGAGAACATTATCACACAGGACTCCTTTATTAAATTAAATTCCTTTAAAAAGGAACATGTTAGTTCCATCACGAAGGTTCCCGTTTCAAAAGTCTGAGAGATCACCCTGTTTGCTGTAAAAATTTAAACCGGACACTCTGATTAATCATGTCATTGGGATGGACTTTCAAGTTATACACATCCTTCAAGATACATGCCATATAAGGTGCCATATAACCCAGCCCCTCCTACCTCTCTGAAGGCAGCTCCCCACCAGACTTCTTCATGGTCATAAACTCCAGCCACAAAGACCCTCGCTTGCTCCTTCCTACACACCAAGCACTGTCCTCGCTCAGGGTGTGCACTGGACAGACTACCTCCTCTGTCTGGAATGTGCTTCTCCAGGCATCTGCAGGGCTCCCTCCCTAGCCTCCTTCAGGACTCCCCCTCTCAGGGAGGTCTTCTCTGACTACACAATCCTCACCTTGCTTTCTTTTTCTCCATAGTATTTATCACTGCCAGAAACATTTTACGTATTGGTTTATTGTATATTCTTGAACCCATACACATGTACCTAGACAGACACACACAGACACAGACACATAAGCTCTGTAAGAACAGGGAGCTGGTTTATTTTTGTCTCCACTGCAACCCTAGCACCTAAAACCCGTGTCTGCCAAGGGGTGAACACTCAAATCTTTTTTAATGAACAAATTATGGAGAAAAAAATCCCTGAAAATGCAAAATTACGTAATTGTATATTTGGTGTGAGCTTAATTTTTTAAAAAATGGGGCAGGACAGGAAAAAAATGTCCAGGAAGAAAGGTCAAAATGTTAAAACTCTTTTTGACTTTCCAAAGTTCCTAAAATAATCATTTATTACTCTTAGATTCATAAAACAAAGTAGAAAGGTGAAATAGAAGGAAAAAAGCCAAACATATGGCAGCCTCTTCATTTCAGTGCTCTAAGCTAAAGCCCACAGCCTGCGGAGGGTTCCAGAACCCTACCTGCCCCCTGTCCCGTTTCACTACTACCCTTCAAAAGCTTTTTAATGAGCCAAGATTGGAACAGTCATCTTCTTATTCTCCAAATCAATAATCGCAGTGTCTGACAGTGTACAAATGCTAGATTTACACATCTGAGAGCTAAGACAGTGGAGAACCCCTACCACAGAGACAAACCTCACATAAGAAAGCTCAATGTTCTGTCCTGCCAGGGAACCTGAGTCTTCAGAATAGAAAATGTTCCTTGACCATCTTTCTCCATAAAAAGTTTTGGAGTTCCTCTCTTTGAAGCAAGAAAGTCTTCACAGACTCATGAGCCCATGTTACTAGCCCCAGGGGACTTGGCCTCAAAGGGATCAGTCTGGATCCAGCTCCAGATGATTTGGGCCTGATCCAGTTAGCATCCACCCTATGTCCGTATCACTCATGGCTGGTTTATTAGAGCCAGGAAGACACATCTTATCTCCCTTACAAGGCTTCTGGGCTCCTAGAGGACAGGGCCTCATTCATTAGCCTGGCCACAGAGCTCCCAGTGTACAGAAGAAGTGGGTGCTCAAACAGTACAAGATGAATAAATGAATGCATTCACAGCCCCAAGGCCAACTCCACCTGAGCTGTGGCTTCAGTTACTTTCTGCTTTGTTTCAGTTAGAGTCTTTTTAAAAACACACACTTTCAAAGAGGTTAGATCCAACAGAAAAAAACCTCTTGTGCCTCCCTCCCACTCAGGGTACGTACAGAGCTAGAGGTAACAAGATAAGCTGTTTCCCACGAAAGCGGACCCACCTGTAAAATGAGGGACTCCTTATCTCCTTCTAGACGTGCCAAGCGTTCCTGGTACGTTTCATTATTAGCAGCACCTTGGTGATTTACCTGGGACTAAAAGGGGGGAAAAAAAACTATGTACTTAAAATGCTGGAAAAACATCTTCTCAGTTTCCAAATGAAGTATGCAATTTGTGAGGACAGTTTCGCTGGTTACATGTGCAAAACCACCCACCTAAACAGGAAACCACAGGATTTCAAAACTACTATGAAGAGGACCACTGATAGGTGTACCTTGAACGCTGGCCACACCAGCCCCTGGATGACCTCACCCTTGGCCGGGAAGGCCTTGATGGAACTCCAGACCCAGTGGTGCTGCACTTGACTGGGCATGTCGGGTTGCGTCTGGTGAAGGAGGAGGCCCAGCCCGCCAGAGGCCCCAACGGCGAGGAGTCTACTCTTCGAGGAGGCCCGGGAGCTGGTACATTCGACAAGGAACTATGTGGGAACCAGTCCTGCACAGATCTTGGTCTCTCCTGACTCCCATGCCAGCATTCTCCAGAGCCGAGGCTCTGCTCACAGCATGGAGGCCCGTCTGGAGCGCTGTGGGGAACATGGAGGATGGGGGACCCAGCGGCAAGGCATGCAGTATGTTTGCTTATCTCAGCTCCAACACTGCAGGAAAAGGTAAAAACATCCGAGAAGACCCCAAGTGATGGTCAGAGGGACTTCAAAGAGCTAACAGGAAACGAAATATCCAGAAGCTGGAAAACAGACGAGCGGGAGAAGCTGTGAACTGGCAGATGGTGGGGGGGGGGGGGGGGGGGGGAGCAGGATTTATAAAATGCTCTGAGCAAGAGACAGGAGGCTGCAGACACTTTTTGGGTGTGTCTGACCTGGTTGCAGGCAGGGAGGAGGGAGAGAGGTGGCTGCCAATGGTCCTGAATTGGCCTAATGCCATCCACACTCCCTCCATGCTTAATGGAAGGCCGAAACCCAGAGGCCCAGAGTAGGCCATTCAGGGGTTTGGCAACCTGAAAAAGCAGGTCTTATTGCTAAATGGGTAAGTGACAATCATCATAATCTGGGCTGGTCCAGAGGAGTAAATGCTCTGAGGTTTATGAGGCAGTATCCTCCATTCCAAAGGCAAATCATGGTTGTGCAAAGGAGTGGGTCGGAGAAGAACCTAGGCACAGAGGCCTGGAGGTGGCCCCCTTCTGAGTCCATTTCCCTACATTCTGACCTTCAGAATGGGCTTGCCAAGGGCACTCCTTCCTTCCCTTGTCCCACCCCTTCCCCAGTGTACACCAGGTAAGGGCAGGGGCAGAGCCCGTCTTAGTCCTGAGACAGAAACAGGGACTAAGAAACAGGCACCACATTCAAGGCCTGGCACGTCACTTGATAGAGAATCACGGGCTGCTGGAGGTGCAGGGGGAGGGCGGGCCCGGGGGCCGGTTCCCAGGGCAGCTGTGCCAGGCCACAGTGCTCACTGCCCTGGGCTCCAGCCGCTCTCTAGTCTGCATCTTGTTCATTGTTATGGAAGCTCTTTCATACCATAGACAAAGGGCCTTCACAATCACAAATGACTTCTTTGTGAGGATGGCAGTTTATTGTTGTGACATTAATTCTGCTCCTCACACGGTCAAACTCAGATGAGTAAGCGAGGATGTAATTATCACCCATGTTTTCTCAGACCCTCAAAGGAGAGGAAAATAATTGCTAACAGCAGGTCAAGAGCTTCTCTGTGAAACAACTCACACGGTGATGAAAAAAGGACCCAGGCCCCCAGTGGAAGCCGTGCGTGTCCCGACCCAGGACCACAGTCAGCACGTGTAAGGGGCCGCCCAGCACTGCTGGCTGTCACTTCTCCGTGGGTGGTCATGGAGAGAAGCCCAAAGGGAAGACTCCTGGCACAAGACTCCAGCAAGTCACCACATCACTGTGCCTCAGGCAAATGGCACCCAGTACGTCCCTCATGTTACAGGTCTACCCGTACAGTCACCCAGAGACACAGCTATTTTTACTAATTGACCCCAAATCAAGTTGATATCGTAAGCTCAGTTAATACACAAATGCATGCCATTAGGGTCTCTAACAGATGCTAGACCGTAGTTTAAAAAAAAAAAATCTGGATCTACTCTAGCAGCCAGAGGAAAAAGCAAAGCACAGTGAGTTATAAGATGCCCAGATCAGTACAGTGAATAAAGTCAAAATGACGGCCTAGGAGAAATGTAACTAGTCCTACAGAAAGGACAGACTTCAAAGTTTTCAGAGAGAGACTCTATGCAGTGGGGTAGACATCCAACATCTATTATGCTAACCTCACAGTAAACGGAGCCCAGCAGAACTCACTGCTTTCTTGGGATGTCCTCTAAATAGGTCAAAGGTTAATGGATCGTCTGGGCCAAAGGCACAAGAAATTCATCGGAGACCAATCCAATGTGGAGATACACAGCAAGCTCTTACGTAGTGCTCAACATCGCCAGGTACCATTTCGAGCATTTTACATGCCTTAACTCTTTTAATATTTCCCATAAGCCTGTGAGAGGGGTATTATTTTGATTCCATTTTGCAGATAAAGGAACCGAGGCACAAAGTGTAAGAACAAGGCATAAACGGTATTTTGCCTAAGTGACTACATACTAAATTAGTAAGTTTTCTGTTACAGCTTAATTGAAGATATATATAATTAATTGAGGATAATATATAAAAATTTATATATTGGGATTGTACGAAAATTCACTTAAAATAAGGTTTGAAAACACTGTCTGAACCTAAGTGTCCATTAATAAAGGAGTGGCTGGGACACCTGGGTAGCACAGTGGGTTAAGTCTCTGTCTTCGGCTTAGGTCATGATCTCAGGGTCCTGGGATCAAGCCCCGCATCAGGCTCTCTGCTTGGTGGGGGGCCTGCTTCACCCCCCCTTTCTCTGTCTGCCTCTCTGTCTACTTGTGATCTCTGTCAAATAAATAAATAAAATCTTAAAAAAAAATAAAGCAGTGGCAAAATAAACAATGGTTCATCCACATTATGGATAGTTTGTGACATTCCAAAACATGAATATAAGACATACTGGTGGGGCGCCTGGGTGGCTCAGTGGGTTAAGCCGCTGCCTTCGGCTCAGGTCATGATCTCAGGGTCCTGGGATCGAGCCCCGCATCGGGCTCTCTGCTCAGCAGGGAGCCTGCTTCCTCCTCTCTCTCTACCTGCCTCTCTGCCTGCTTGTGATCTCTCTCTGTCAAGTAAATAAATAAAATCTTTAAAAAAAAAAAATAAGACATACTGGACAGTGAAAATAGCAAGATCCAAAGAATCATACAAAGTGACATTAGAAAACAATACTGTGGGGCTCCACGCATGTATGACATATGAATAAAAAAAAACTGACCCAGTGTCTGGAAGGCTACATAGCAATTATAATAGTGCTCTCTCCTGGGGAAGTGTCTGGGCTATGGAAAGCTGGGGATGGGAGGTTTGGTCAAGGTGGGCTTTTATTTCAACCATAACAATTTTTGTAAGAAGCTCAAATATTTTCTTGATAAATAAAAACACTTTAAAATCTAGAAGCACTGTTTGAGTACCAACGACGTTGGTTCCTGGTACTTTCTTCCTCCTACAGCAGCCTGAAGGACAGGCAGCAGCAGGCACGCTGCCCCATAGGACAGTGAGCCTGGCACAAAGCACCTCTCTTGCCCCAAATCACTACTTGAGAGTAAAAGAGCACCTTCCCCTCTTGTTCAGTCTACCAAAATCACCACTGTTCTCTAGCAAGCTTTCGAGAGGTACTGAACAGCAGTGAAATGGAGACAATGTCCCAAAACACAAGTCTGCAGAATCACCATCCTATACTTTTCCTGACACACTGAGCCAGATCTTTGCAATCTAGGTAAGACTGATACCTTGAAAACTGCAGTCCTGTAGAAAGGCACAGACCAGGATAAAACACCATCTCCACTGAGCACAGAGCCATGAAGAGGATTGTTTTAGAATTACCTTGTTGAATGCCAACACTCCTCAGCTGAAGGTGAGGATTTCATTAGGGGAGAAAAGGCACGTGGTTATGAAAATATCATTCCAATGACTCTCAAACATGTTTAAAAAAGAGTTGAGACCCAGCTCAGTTTTGTCCTACTTTAAAAAGAGTTTTTGTTTGTCTAAGGATATACTGTATATCCCCTAACTGTAACAGTGAAATCACAATAGAAGGCTCAGATCAATTTGGGGATTGTACGTCTGGACCCCAAGTGATCCCCAGGTTTGGGAGTCTATGAAATTCTTGTCCACGTTCTCTAGGAGGTAAATCAGTGATAGAGTGGCTGCCCAGCTCTCCACGCGTGAGATCAGACTGGGAGACCCATGCTGGCATTTCACTGAAGGAAGCCGGTCAAGTCAAATTCTGAAGGGTGCTACGTGCTGAATTTCTATTCCTCCACACTCTACACGGCAGGGAAATGTAAATGAGAATTCTACCCTGTTCTGCTCTTTTGAGGATGCTCATCCCACTGATGAATAAAAATGACCTTTTATTTATATTTAACTAATGAGGTTAGCCTCTAGGCTAGACCTAATAGATTACTGATGTACGAGGTAGGATATACATCTATCTGATGTTCTCTCCTGTTTTGATGGTTATTTCTACAGATGTGACAGAAGAAAAATGGATCTTCTCATTCAAATTTTCTATGGTCAGAGCTGTTCCTCCATCTATAACCAATGTCAGTTTACCTGATATATTGTGTGGGGCCAAGAGATACTGTGTGGAACCCAGGGATCTGTGTGCTCTGTGGAGGTGGAATGGCCACTACAGATGAACATTTCCATGTCCTCTTGCATCTTGACCAAAGAATGCCACAGTGGAACAAGCTCCCTCTCTCGTATCACAGAACTGAATGGATGGGGAGGCCTTCTTGTACATATGTTGTCAGTAATAGGGAAACTTTAGCCTAGATTACTGAAGCCAAGCCACCTTTGCTTTTATCAAAGCTGTGTTCTCAAGAGTCTGGGAAATCCATTCTCTAAAACCCAGAACTCTTGAAGGCAAATAGAAGACACAGGCCGTAACGGTCAGATCAAGGTCTTCCCGAGGCCTTGGCAGTAATGTTTCTGTGAGTCCTC